GAGTTTCCACCGTATTTCAGCACCTCATTGTGATCCGAACAGTGTTCCGAACTCGGCAAATTCACTGCTCATCTGGCTTTATACACAACACCGAGTGAATGCAGTGGTATTAAATCGCAATACGATGCCACAGGCTGATAAACTACAATGTCTGATACGATGTGAGGACAAGGGAATTTCACGAGAGGCAGCTTTTGCAACTTTCAATTGAATTTCATGCCAAATGTTAACTTCGGCAATTCAACTTCCAATGACATCAATCAACGTCTCAGACTGACAAAATAATTATCTTCACCTCTCGGGATGCTCCAATTCATGTTTGTCTCTCCAATCTGGTGCTCTGGATATGAAGGAAATTACAGGGAAAAGGAGTTCCGTTCCTGTGCAAATACACAATCTCTGAGATATTGAATCTTGACTTGCACTTGAGATTACAAACTCATGGAAATCAGTTTAACTTTGGCTCCAAAATTAGAACAATATGGACTGAGAATTGGGATAAAATTATCACGATCGTTTAGTGTGTGTCAAAGTGTGTCTCAGGGCAATGAAACGTCCCATTGATTGGCCCATTAGCACCGCGGGAAATTCAACAAGAGTGGAACACGGACAGCACGAGGCGATTAACAGGAGCTCAAGCGACAGAATTAATGGCAATTCAATGAATCAAAATTTATCTTGAGTCAGAAAATTCCACCCAAATTCTCATAGCGCAAACTACGCTCACACGCGAAGGCGCATTTGCATATTAATGTGTTCCAATGGGGAGCAGAAGAATGGGTCTGAAGAACTGGAAGTGTGACTTTCCCCATCAAAATGGAATCAATGAACGAGTTTTGGCGCGAGAATTTTGTCCAATTCTCTCCCATGTTGACTGTCTCTCTGTGGCACTCATGCCTTCAAGATCACGATCATATCTGGCGTGAAGAGAATTCATCTTCACGCGGAGCGCTCCTCGCCTGGCTGACAGTGAAATTGGGGCGGAGGAGTGCGTTGCTGCATTTATAAACAGAGCAATTCATGGAGATTCAATTTATTATTCAGGGAGTGTCTCATGTGTGTTGGCTGTGCGATACAACAGCAAAGAATTTCCCCCCTTTTTACCATATTCACACTCACTGGCTCCATGTCATTGCCTAGACACAATAAAGTTTCGATGGAAAATAAAATATATCAAGTTTTTATGTCTCGAACAAATCAAGCGTTTCTCAACTTTCGATGCTGCATGATTCTACGGATTTACCATTAGAGCTCGCTTCGCCTAGTAAATATGGTTGGAAATAGTGAAGAAAAGTGCCTCAAATTGGCCCACACGGAGGTTCCTCTTCGCGACAGAAATGCGCGAAAAAAAATATCTTTGACAATAGACGACACTATTTTTCACAAAATTTATACCATTTGAATGATTTTGCATAGAAGTTCAGGCTTAATTCTGTGGCGAGAGAGGCGAAAAAATAGAGTCTTTGATTTATTCTCCCTGAGAGAGTATCCACACCTTATAACCTCCTTTTATACCCTCACACAAATGGCAAACAATAAACATAAATCACAGAAATTATTCTGAATAATAAACATGTGGTAATCAAATGGAGAGAGAGACGCATGAGATGTTGAATGTCTCATGGAAGTGAATCAAGGAGGAAGGCAGAAAAAAAGCCAGAGAGTCGCACGACTTCAATGAAGTCCCACAAGTGAAAAAAAATTCCTCCGCAAGGATAGAAACCACCGAAACAGTCGACTCTTTGTCCCGTCTCTTTTGTCGATCTCTGGGAACCTTCTCAATGGCCTGGGAGGAGATCCCAGAAAAAAGCCAAGAATGGCGTCACCGAAGCGAAAACCGTCGGCAAGTCCTTTTCTCACGCTCACCCACATGATTACTGATCATAAACTCATACACTCGAGGCTTCGTCTGACTGTGCACAGAGTTTTTCTTCCGAACTCGACACATTTCACGACTCAGTTGATCAAACATTTGATTTGTGGCAGTCTTTTGACATCACGCGGATAATTGTAATTCGATATTGAAGTTTTCTGGTGAGGAAAATTGTTTGAAATTCGAATGTTTCTAAATTGAATGTCGGCGTAAGAGAAAATTATTTTAATTCAGACCTTCAAGGTAACGAGATTGGAAGCTAAATAGATCACGTTTTAACCTGGAAGGAACATCGCGTGCCGTGCAAAGCATCATCTTAGATTCAGTCCTTTTAGCTGGAATGAAATTGAAGACTTTAAGTCACATCTTGTGTAACAGTTTAGCACCTTCGGAAAGAAGATTTGATGTGAAAATGACTGCATTCAGGGACATCCTGAATGATTGAAGGCTTTCAGAGTGCTGAGTGTATATTTATGAGGACTGATGGCGTTGAGTGGAGGGATGAGGTAGGATTTCACTGGGCTGGGATGAAATTTCAAGAGACTGCAACAATTTAAATGGACTCTGTTTCTTGTCACTCAAGTGTCTCAATAACTTGTGCACTTGTCATGAGCATGCAGTGGAAGGAAGTTACAGACAAAGACATTCTCTGTGCGCCGAAAGTCCAGAGAGTTGCTAAGGAGTTGGGCGAGTGATGAAGAATGGGAAATTGCAACAAAGTGCTTCAATGGCAAGTGATGTCTGAGGGGGAAGTTTTGCTGTGAGGGAATTAGCCGAGTCCTTTGTGGTTTGGCACTCGAAATAGAGAGGAAGTATTGGATCTTGTTGGTGAAATGTTTGCTGATGGTGACAAATTACTGCCGACACCCTCTCGAAAGAAGGGTGGTTGGTGAGATATTCGCTGTGATGAATGATGCACCCAAACTCATGACCACGCGCCATCTCCGTTTTATTTTATCTTCGCCATCGCGATGAGAATTTTCCAAAGTGATGGAATTCCAACGATTTCCAAAGCGGCTCATCTTTTTGCCCAACACCCAAAGCCACACGCAGCATCGCTCACGGTAATGAAGGCAGGAATTTCTATGAGTTCCAGAAGAGAATTACGTGGGCGAAACCCCAGAATTTGTCACTGACTCCACAAGAGAGTCTCCGAAAATCTTTTTCTACGCTTCATCTCGCTTTCTCTTCCTCCACTTCTTCCTCATAATAAATAATTTTTCCGCCTCCGCGAGCAACTCGATTCCAGGCTCGTCATCTATGTTGTGTTTAGTTGATGATATGTGTCCCATCCAAAAGAGTGAAGAGAGAGTGGAGAAGTGAGATGAATTGGAAACCCGATAAGACTCATCTTCTTTTATTATTGTATGTCTCAAATTGAGTTTTTTTTCTTGCCTCCACCTTTAATTCTTCAAGCGCATACACCGTCAAATAAGAAGAATCATCCGGCTGGAGTATTCTTGCAAGAAGGTATCGATGTGATTGTCCACAGGGGCTTCACTCCTGGGGGATAACAAGAGAAATGTTATTGGGACTTTGGCAAATCAACCGGAAGGAATGGAGGATAAAATTCGCTGACTTTAAAATTAACACGTTGCCTTGAAGCCCTCTTTCTCCTTCGAGATTCGCTCTCTTCGGGCTCCTGATAGGGTTTGTGATTCCCTGAGAATGTCGCTTGGATTGCGAATAAGTGACTCGGAAAGCTCTCAAAAACAGAGTAAAGGCTCATGTGAGAATTTTTAGAGCTATCGCGTCCCTTTTTCATCATCCGATGTTATCAGCATTTTTCCAATTTACCACTCGGTTTACAGCATATTCAACGTCATTTCAAAGTACAACATTTAATGTTTATTCAATAGCGGGGCCGTGGTGGAATAGCAGAGTTGCAGAAATTAAGCTTAGACGAGAAATTGTAGATGAATTATCAAGCAGTCTTGTAGTTTCCTGATCAATTCGTCGCAACACTTTGGCAGAACATTGTTTTTGAAACATTCTTCCTGACAACATGAGTCATATTTTCCCATGGCAGAGAATGAGTCTTTATCCTTTCTTCTTAAACTTCTATTTTGTGTAATCATCAACTCTCCAAAACAGTATAGTAAATACATTTAATGGGAATTTCATCGTGGAATTGTGGTTCCATTTGGAGACGAAAAAAAGCGTGTGATACACTTTTCAGAGGGTCAACAAGACTTTTTATGGCTCAATTTCTTCTCTAAAAGGAATCTGACGACTTCTACATTTAAAGTTACTTCTTTTTTTTCAATTTACTTCTCACCACACCCGCATATAGCTTCATCCAATATGCTTTTATCGACGTGCGAGTCTCAGAAATAAGAGGTTGTTAATGTTTTGTTATTAGGTTGACATTTAGAATGTCATTAATTTGTCATAAGTTACAATATGACTTCCTTGTCTCCGTCGTTCAATGTAGTAAATCGATTATTTGTGTCACCATTCGCTGTCGTCCGATAAAAATTGATATAGCTTTGAGGTGGAGGAACACACGAAACACCCACAATTGCGACAAAATCAGAAATGTATGTAGCGAATAAGGGAAAATGCCGGAGATGGTGAGTTTTGTGTCATGAAAACATTTTCCTGTAATCAGTTGGGTAGGAATAACATTTGAATTAATTGAGTGAGACCCAGACGCTCAAAGACAGCGACAGAGGGAGGAATTTGTGAGTTATCTGCAGAGGAATCCCTCTGCGGGGGTGTGATAAGGGAAAAATTGGCTCTTCCGTCTTCCAAGGCGGGAAAAATCAACGTGACGATGGTAGAAAAATTGGGGCAATAATTTATACTGAGAGGGAGGTAATTTGGGCTCTTTATTGAATTAGGAGATTCTCCCGTGGGGAAAATGAGGCTCCATGGGGCGATTTAGTGAGAATTCAGTGGTCTAAAATACAACACCGCAGAGTTTTTCTTTCTCTATTTTCTCAATGGGAAAATTGCGTGAAAACTCATGTCTATTGCAACTGAAATTTCCATCAAATTGAATACTCTCTCCGCGAGAGGGCTCTCAGTGGGAGAGCGAGAGAGAGAGCGCTGGAGAAGAGAGCATCGGGTGTTGAGAAAGACCAGTGTTGGGAAGAAGCAAAACATTACAAAAGCTTTCAGTTGTTGTGCGATCGTCGCGCAGAATTGTTGCTGGTCGGTGGGAAAGCGTGCTTATCGGAGTTGCTCCGAGTGATAATTTTACGTATTGTATGTTCCATTGTATTTGTCGTGTGGCTGCGAGTGCCAGCAGTGGTCTGAACTGGGGGTGAAAATGATGTGTACTTGAGTGAAAGTGAACCACACGATTGGAGGACAGAGGAGACCGGGATCCTTCCAGTACAGAGTACGAGTTTGTTCTAAGGTTGCTTTTCACCTTCGCCTCGTGTGAGGACACACGTGAAGAAGGACCAAAGTGTGCTCACTTGAAGATATCTCTCATGCGGAAAGATGGTACTTCTTTTATTGAAATTCACCTCTCGCTAGGGAGAAAGTCACCCTTCACACGAGGAATGTCATACAAATCGTTATATCTCGTATTCTTTCTTATTATTATTATGTAACACGGCATGGCATAGTGTGAAAATCACACGAATTTTATGAGCATTCCACCCTCGACACTAGCAATGTGACTTTTGAAATTGCAATCTCGAGGTGCAATAAAAAATCAGGAGAAGGATACAAAAGAGGGTTGAGACTGTGTTAATGAAACACACAAATTGTGAGATACAACTTTCGCAATGATTCTCTCGTCGACTCGGTAGGAATTCAAAGAGATGAGATGAAAATGGGGAAAATGTTTATAGAATCTTATGGTTCCTCGCGCGCCTCAAGATGCTTGTCGTAGACACATTTTTCATGTATGTGATTTTATACAAACACAAGGAGAAATGTTTCAATTTGCAGCTCTGGAGCTGCAAATAGTCTCTCGTTGGGAGATGTAAACAAAAGTGATGAATTATTGGAAGATGAGGCGCACTCACGGCGTTAGATGTAAATTTAACGTTTCATTGACGTGCCGAAAGTCTTTGCAAGGGGAAAGAAATCGAAGAAAAAGGAGCAGACAAAGGCGGAACTTAATTGTTTCGGAATGAATACTCTCAATTTTGGCTCTGCCACCCAATCATTCACATCCCCATTGCGTCCCGTCGACGCCCCGTGACGCCCAAAAGATGAGTGGTTTGGGGTTGATTGAGGAAGGTGTCTCGCATGGAGTTCAAATACGAGCCTCTGAAATGAGGCAGAAGTGCCGGTATACGATTGAATGTAATTGAGCTAAAAGTGTTCCTTGTCTCGTCTTTTCTCGCCAACCCCTCAATGTGATGGAATTGAAGATAGCAAACACTGTTGGGAGATGATATTTGAAGGCATTGCAAATTTGTTTGGTAAATGCTTGCGTCTCTCTCGAAAATGTATTTATTTTATTAAATAAAAATACTATATATATATGGCCCGGAGAATATATTTAATTATAAATTATGCGTTTAAATTAATTAAATATTATTATTATTATGACCTCAATTAAAATTAGGGAAAGACGAGCTATTGAGGACATGTTTCTTTTACAAGATATATTAGAGACAACGCCATGCATTTTCCAATCTAAAATTACCCTCTACAATATTGTCGAACATATTGACATCTATTATCAGACCCTATTTAATGTGGCCCTGAGAGCTGTTCATTTTAGAATTGACATTAGTGACCCCGATTTAATGTGATGGAAATTCAGTTGTTAATCCGACACCCGCTAATTGCATAATCGGATGATCTGCTCATCATACATTTTGTCAAATGTGACATACATTTTCATTAGCAACGGATGCAATATGGGGATTGTTCTTTTTGAGAAGTTGAAAAAAAGGTGAAATAATTATGGAATGAATATGTCAATTCTTCAAAGAAATGAAGTTCATTAGTGAGAAACTTCCTTTTTTCTCTCGAGCATGACTTTGTATGAAAACATGACAAAGATTTTCCCAACAAATTGGACCGTATTGCCTTGTGGCAGTGTTCTAAGAATGCAGTTTCCTTCAAAGACATAATGTCTTGCCATGAGTCCTTTGAAGCGGAGCAATTTTGCGAAGTTCCTAACTGAACCACCTTTAATTACGCTGTTTACCTATGAATATACTTTACATGAGTGTAAGGAAATGTCTTGCAGATGTGATTTAATTAAGATACTGTTGCATAATCAAGGATACGGGAAACTTTTCGATATATTTTTCATTCAAGAGCCGTCTAATGGTAAAAGTGTCAATTTCTCCTCAACACCCGAGATATTATCTTATTTCGTCACTTCCACCGTAACATTCTCTGGAAACATGTGAGAAGAAGATAAAAGCCTTATGATGACATGCAAGAATCATTCTCCAAGATAGGTCCTCCCTCGCCTAATCCCCTCTCATGACAATTGTCTCGATGGTGCTCTGGTGGATTCTAATTCCTCCCTTTTTGCCACAATCATCACACAACAAACGCTACAAAAAACCCACCTCTCGATGTGGGTTTTGGGGCGTTTTTTCCTCACCAGTTGATAAAATATCGCCTGACAGAGCACTTGGCCACGCTGCAGCTTCACGAGATCACCATTGGTGTTTCCTCTTTAATATTAATGATGCAAGTTTCACTTTAAATGCTCACCAATCTTGACACTCTTTTCTGTGTGCTAAAATCCCACGGTTTTTCTCCATAGTCAAGGTGGAAAACTTTTTCACGCCACACCATTTGCACTCTAGCAGTACAAGAGTAATATGGCAAGTTTTGGACTATTTCCATAGTTAATCCGTATGCTGAGCATGAAAAAAAGGCATTAAATTGTCGCACGCAATAAGCGAAAATCCCTCACTTATTGTCACCACTTTTTTCCACCACTCCCAAGCCATTCCTCCTCCGTGTCTGGTCATACTTTTTCGTGGGGGTTTGTTTGTCGCTGGCAAAAAGAGTCTTTGGACATGTGTGAGGCTCAGAGGTGTGATTTACAAGGCGATTGTCTTTTGCAAATGACCTGGTTTACACTCTCTGGAGAAGTACAAGACTTTTTGCCCATTCTTTCCGCCAAATGAATTGAATGCAAACGAGCGGCGGGAGCGACAAGAGGAAAATGGTGAATGATGAAAGAAATGAAAAACGATCAATTTCCGTTGAAAAACAGCACAAGAGAGGGAGAGAAGGAGTTTCGCATGGCAACTGGAGACGAAACTCGAGACCATTGAGAGCATTTAAGCGAATAATGATGGTAATTTTCATAAGAGTATTAGAGTCTCATTCATATGCTCGGATGTGTTTCGCCAAAGTGGCTGGCACTGTCTTATTGAATTATTGAGTTTCTGGAGAGGAGAAAAATTGTTCTACTTCATTACCATGTCGTACAGATAAATTTTCCTCAAGTGTATTGAGCGGGGAAAAGAGGCGCAATATATTTTCCTGACACATCGCGAGTTGAGTGGAAATTTTCACCATACGTCGTATAAATCAATTAGTACTTTTGGTGTTGAAGTGTGGCATCTTTTTGATCCACTTCACGCGGCTTTTTCTTGCTTCACAGCCACCAAAATATCGATTCTCACCGTGTGAACAGCCTCACTTCACCCGAGGAGGGACACGAAATACCCATAAATTATTCAATTATCGAATTAAATCCAAATTACACTCTCCAAATGTCGCTTGGCATATTGTGTGAAGATAGAAAATTCACTCCTCTCCTTTTCAACTATAACAGATTTAGTCGCAGCGGAAAAAATATGGATCGCGACTTTGACTCGCGAGATTGAATTAAAAACTTTCACTTTGCTCTTTTCTCTCTCACTTGCAACACGCCCAGAATTCTTGTGGGTCTCCGAAGCCATTTCTTCGATAAGACACTTTTCTTGTATTTCCGACGCCACACCAACAGAGTCTCCAACTAATGAGATAAAAGAGTGGCGGAAGGAGACACTTGAGAAATAGTCAGATACCCCTTTTTTGTTCTTAAGGGTGTTTTCCGCCCTTTTGACTTCCTCTCTTCATTATTCACAATGGCCTCTTCCGATGAGCGGAAAGAAAACAGTCAAATAAAATGTGAAAATGAGATAAAATTTCCTTCAACTTCACACTTTAGGTTTTTTTTGTTGTTGTTATCTGAAAAAGCACAGACATACGAAAATCTGAAAAGCTCATCAGCAGCTTTCTTAGAGTCCAGATCCGGAGAGCCCGTCAGACTTCAGCTCTGCTCAATTTGATATTCACTGCGATGTTCTTTAGTTTGCTCAATTTGTGTATAAATTTGCGAATTAGTTATGCGCAATAAAACAATACTAAAAATTTATAGTTCAGCCATCACAGAGCGATTAAATATTTCATGACATTATCTGGCTTTTTTCCCCGCCAAAAGCCGCGTTTTAACTCAAATTATGAAGCTTAAAGTTCATTTTTCAGCCACAGAGTGGATTTTGTGGGCAATTTAGCGATGCTAATCTGGGTGAATTAAGACTGGAGGGAATCAAAGTAAAACCCTGGAAGATGCTCATTTACACAAAATGCAGTGAAATTGTGGCTTGTAAATAGCCCGCGAAGACATAAAGAGTTTCCCATTGGCGAGATAAGTGAAAATGGCTAACACTTTGTGTCCCAGCCGCACTTCAGCATCTCACGAGGGGTGTGGAAAAATCCTTGGGGGACAATTTAAGAGTGGAGTGAAAATTGCGCACATTGAAAATGAGACTTTCAATAAATTTGCCATAGAGGCGCGAATCGGAGAATTTGTGTGGATGGGAGAGAATAGAAAATGGAAATGAGAAGAAAAGCATCTTGTCACTTTTCCGTTCCTCTTCTCTCTCCGCTTACAATCCCAAAGCCATCGCCGTGGGTGCTCGAGATCATCTCGAAGTGTACAAGAAAATTGACGTGAGAGTGCAAATTTTTCCATGTATTTGAGCCCTGTCACGGATGATGTTTTTTTCTCCTTTGAAATCCACTTTTCACGATCTCGCCTAGCTGTGAAAAATCTTGAATACACCCAGCGCGATGTATTAAGAGAAAGAAAAATCAGAATCACTCTCCTCTTCAATTGCTCGTTGACAATCAAATGCGGAGTGAATGTGGGAAATTGAATTGAATGTTTGAGGCAAAACACAATTTTTCCCTCTCATATGGAATCTGATTCTGCAATATATTCTGGGCGAAAGGCAAAGGTGAAAATGCAAAAGAGCCACCCCTCGGGCCCTGAGTTCCACACTCCGCGTGGAAATCTTTTTGTGTGCGCTCCAAAATCCACATTCACATATCATACAACAAAGACCGCGAATTTTATTCATCCCACACTTCCTTGGCAGTTAAAATAAATTTTGCCGCCTTCGCCTAAGTGGC